GTTTCTGTGTATGAGCGTATTTGGAAAAGTTCTTTATCTCTGTATAAGACAAAATATTCAAGTTTCAAAATATTCCGATGGCCTGCTGACCCTGAATCTCCTCCTGCTGCTCTCCACTCCCAAGGATTCTCCAACTCGGTGGGAGGTGGGCTGTGTGGGAGATTAACCAGCCCTTCTGCATCTCTTTATACCCAACAAAAATGTAGTAAAATGTCTTTAAGAACTGGCGGCTTGACCTGAGGACTCTCTATGTTCAGTGAGAGCAGGGCAGGTTCAGAAATAAGTGCACAGAGCTCTTGGAATCAGGAATCATCTGCTCTTCCTGTAGTGTGGGTGTCCCCCCATGGAGGAGCGTCCGCGTTTGCAGTTTTAAGTTCCATCCAGGGAGCCTTCCGTTCTCTGTAGTGACAGGAGACAAGACAAGGTGTGGTCATACCCTTCAGGACTGAAGACTGGCCTGGTGGAAAGATGTGCAAAATTGCAGATAGCATTCCTTAAAGGAATTCCAAAGCAGTGCTGTCATCTGTTGGTACCCCCTGTCCTGTGGGGGTAGCTCCCACCCACACTCATTTCTCCCTCTCTCTGTGCCTGCTCTGTAGGGCCTGCAGCATCTACTCCCCATGTACACACTAGACTATCAACCAGCTTCCTCAGCACCCACTGTGTGCTCAGCACTATGTCCCATGGGTGTGACACTTACCACAGAGGAAGATTAGTCAAGTTAAGACACCTGGCTGCTTGCTCCAGCTCTACCTCTAATATGAGATGGACCTTCTCTAGGTCTGCTTTTATATTTCAGAAATGAAGGACTGAACTCAAATGATCAAACTTAAATGTCTTAAAATTATATGATTCTGCCTTTAAAAGGAATAAAATTCTGATAGGAACAAATCTTGTGTGATTCCACCTATATGAGGTACCCAGAGTATTCAAATTTATAGAGACAAATAGAACAGTGGTTTCCAGGGGCCGGGGGTAGGGGGAAGAGGGAGTTAGCGTTAAATAGAGTTTTGGTTTGGAATAATGAAAAAGTTCTGTGGGTGGATGGTGGTGATGATTGCATAACAATATGAATGTACTTAATGTCACTGAACTGTACACTTAAAAATGGTTAAAACGGTAAATTTTATGTTGTATATGTTTCGTGACAAAAACAAACAAAAAAACAAGGTTTCATATGCCATCTTGTAGTGTTCCCTAACTGCTTCATGTGGTATTTATGTAACCTACCCATCCATCAGTGATTGGACCCCAATCTGACCCAGGCACTGTCACCTATGCTGAGGATGCAAGAACCTGCCTCCCCCTCAATTTTATATCCTAGCAATTATTGACAAACAACCCCACTATGAAGTAGAAAGTGGAAGAGGTCCTAACAAACTGTAGAAGGAGTTCAGAGGCGGTGAAAGGACTGTAGCTGGGTGGTGAGGGAATCACAGAAGGCTTTGGGGAAGTGACTTTGGAGCCAACCTCCAAGGTGGAGAGGATTTTGACAAATGGATGGAGCGAGGGGGCAAGAGTGGAGCATGCTGGGAAATACTGGAGCGTAGAGGGGCCCTGGGTAATGGTGAGCCCCAAAGAGCAGGCAGCATCTGAGTCTATGGCTCTGGGCCCTCCATGCACACAGGGCACCTGCTGCAGGTAGGACTCAGGGAGGCAGGAGCAGAAGTGGTGGGGATTAGCCTTGGGAACTCCGTGGCCACGCTGGTTGGCTCCCTGACCAAGAGGCTGAGCTAGAATCCCTGCTTTGTCCTGACCCTGTCGGGACTGAGGAGGTTCTTGGAACAGGATGCAGGTCTGAGGGGCTCCAGCCGGAAGCCCAAGTCTCTGCCTCCTCCTTTGCCAGGAGAGACTCTGGTAAGCGGGCCAAGAGAGCTGTGTTAGCCCCAGGGAGCTGGAGGCCCACCAGCCTTGGTAGCCACCCTCATCCCATTTCTTCTGCTCTACTGGAGGGGTGACCTTGGTGTCCAGCCTTTCTGCAGGTTCCAGACAAAGTCCTTCCCTAGACACCTCTGATCTTCCTCTGTGAGGGAAGCAAGTGCTTGGGGAGCTACTGTAGGACCAGCATCCACAGTCAGGAAGGGCTGGGCCACAGTCAACTCTGCCTTGGGGATTTTCAAGTGTGGACGAAAAGAGGGGCCACGTACTACACCTGACAAGCTCAGTGGGGGCCAGCGTGGCGGGGCCTACAAACTCAGAGACTGAAATTAACCACATAGGATGGTCTGAACATAAAAATTCCTAACTAAAATCGGCTCATGGCAAGTAGTTATATCCTGGGCCTGTGGCTTTCTTGACAAAGATCACTCTTTACCTTAAGTGAGCCTGTCTATTGTCTTTGTGCATCTAAGATAACATACCCTTAGAATGTCAGAGTAATCCCTTTTTTGGACCCCTCAGGGCAGAACCCACTGCAGCAGAGCACAGGACCACAAACCCTTCATTGTTATCTTGTTCCCCAAATACCATCTCTATGCGCTGTGAATGTTAATTATTAACTATTCTGTACCCACCAATGTAAAAGAAGTATGTGTCTCTCTGTTTTACCTTTTATCCAATCCCAGAGATTTTTCCGCTTTGCTTTCTCCCGCCTCCCTAATCTACCACCAATGAATTTTCGTGCAACCTCCTTTCCATCGCCTCCTCTGATTCTAATGTATAAAATAAGCTGCAGGACTGCCATTCTCTGGAGCATTTTCTCAAGCTGTTGAGACGTTGCTTCCTGGCAACTGTTGTCAGTGTGGCTCAAATAAACTCATTAAAATTCTCTACAGGTTTGGACGTTTCTTACGTTGACGGAAGTAAAGGTTAAAACGCTCACATCTGAGGCCTGTGCTTAAATCAGAGGCCAGCGGTCAGCCACCGAAGTACAGCCATGAAATCAACCCACTTTCTGGCCAGAGCGTGGTACAAGGCTGTCAAAGGTCGTTTTGCTTCTAACACCCCCAGGATCTCCAGCTTCTAGCATGTGCCCCTTATGAGCACTTCCAATAAACCAGGTCTGTGCTAGGTGCTCATTTAATTCTGGCAACAACCAGGTGAGGGGGTTTTAAAACCAATGATTTACAGACGAGGAAACAGAGGCCCTGAGAGGTTAGGAAATCTGCCCAAAGTGACATGGCTAATAAATGTGTAATAAGGGAAAAGTCAAGTTTTAATGTGGGTCTCTGCTTCCTAACGCAAAGCCTGGCTGTGGTTGAATCCGGTGCCTTGGGTAAGCAACTGCTCCACTCCCCTCATGTGACAGGGGCATTTCAAGGCCACGTCAAGTAAGTCCCCTATCCATGCCCCATACTGGCCAGAGTGTTTGATGAAAAGAACTGTAGAATAATCAACCAGCTTTTATGCAGTAGTTTGCAGTTTGCAAAGTACTTTGCACGTGTTTCTCATTTAACCCTGAAGACACTCCTCATAGGTAGCTATTATTGTGTTTGTTGTCATCATCTCCACTTTACAGATTGGGAAGCTTAGGCTGCAGGGAGACAGGATCACCCGAAAGATGGCTGGAATACTAGATCTCACACTCCAGTCTTGATCAGAATTCTGGGCAGTTCCCACTGCAGCCCAACTGCCTGCTGGCTCCCAGCAGGGAAGGAGATGAGCTGTACATAGGAGTTGCCCTTTTCTCAGTAAGGAAGCAGAGTTCTTTCCAAGATCTCGAGACCCAGGCTAGTCTAGATTCACCCCCTTTCGTTTAAGTACGGGGTGTTCTCGTTCACGTTATCTGTCTGCCTTGGCCACAAACACAATTTATAAACAAGGCAAAAATGGCAGAGGAAAATGAAGTCAGAATGTGCCATTGAAGTGAGTCAAACAATACTAAATTAGTATTTGGCTAAGTGGCTATCTCATTGTTAAGATATTTCCTCCAATATGTTTTCAGAAGCAACAGCCATTAAACAACTGGGAATGATTGCCAGGTTTGATTTCAGGAAGGAAATCCCCTCCCATTTCCTTACTGGGCAATTCAGTTAATTTTCTCCTGACCCTCACCAGCTGATTATTAGGGAAGCTATACCTATTTCTTTTACAAACAAAATGCATTTCATTAAAGATTCAAAATTCCTTCCCAACGGCTAGGAGCCTCTGTGTTCCTGCCAAAAGTCTTCAGTATTTTGGAGAGCAGGACCAGCCATGGGTGGGCACTCAGAAACATCCTGGGAGCAGACTTTTGGGCCCACCGGCCAGTTTCTGGGGAAAGGGAAAGTTCTGTCTGTCCTAGGGCTCAGAGCCTTTGTCCAGAGAGACTTTTTGGATTGAAGACAAAGTAAATAAGTTGGTCCTGCAGGTCCAGCAGATCTGCCTTGGGAGGACACAGTCATGTTTATTGCAATGGAGAATGTCTCTTTATCTGGGTCCCACACTGCCCGTGGAACAACGTTCTCACTTTCCACTCGCTAGAGGCCATGATGGCTGGGACAATGACATCGCTTTTTGGAGGGAGTCTTGTGTCATGTACTAGCTGGGGAGCCTGGAGACTTAGATTCTAGTCCTAGCTCTGCTATTAACTAGCTTGGTGACCCTGGGCAAACTGTTCTGCCAATTCAGGCCTGTTTTCGCCTATCAATTGGGCTCCTTGCCCTTCCAATGCAACAGTCTTTGATTTCAGAAGTCTGGGTGGGTTGAGGCTAGAAAAAGACATTCATTTCATTCCTCTTTTCCTTAAATTGATAGCTTTTCTCCATAAAAAGAATGTCAATGGCTTCCTGTCTGTCAAAGGCATAATGAGTTCTGTTTTACAAGAATTCAGACTCAGGCAAAACAAAGGAAGCCCAGGGCCCCACTGGAAAGGCTACCAGCAATCTTGCTGAAAGTTCTTTCCAGGCCTTAAAGAAGCAGTTTGTGAGGCAAATCCCTCGCCACTTAAGATGCCAGCTGCCCAGTTAGTTAACTCTTGCACTGCTGGGTGGTTCATAAAAAGGTTGGGAGTACGAAGATTCGGTGGAGAGGAATGAGTCTTTGCAAAATTTGAACTTGGACTTCTACATTACTTTTAAACATCCCCACATGCCAAGTAGCAGCTTCCTAAATTCTCTGTCCTACAGAACGAAACCTCCTAATGAGGCATTCAGTCCTTTCCGTGCAAGCCCTGGGTTACCTTTCCCCGTCACTTGTCACTTCACTGTCGCTCTCTTCTCCTCCCATTCTGAGCTGCTTGAAACTGCTCCATCCCTCACACCTTTGCTCCTGCCCATCTTTCTGCCTGGTCCCTGCTGTAATCCGACTCCTTCTTCATGCCCATCCAAATGACCCCTTCCTTGGTGATGAGACCATTAATCAGGCAGAATGAAGCCCCTCTCTTCTGTTTCTGTGGTCCTTGGTGTGGCTGTTATCCCCTTGCTTTCTCATCAGTGATAACTCATCTGAGCCCCTCCCTGGCTCAGGAACCTTGAGTGTCGCCTGCAGCAGAGGACCTGTTGTGTAGTGTAGGAGTGAGTGGCATAGGCTCTAAGAGTTGAAATGAGCTGTGAGATGCCCCACTCATCCAATCATATCCCTCCCCTCCCCCCAATCTGCCTTACTTCCCAGGCTTGAACACTGGACTAGGAGGAAATATCTACTTTGCCTGTTTGCAGCTAACTGCCCTAGATTCCCAGTCCTCTGGGGGGACTTCCAGGGTCTCCCCTCTTCCGTGGGCTGAGATGTAATGATGGAAACAGTGGGAGGGAATATCTGAAATCACAACTGGCTTGGAAAACCTGGCTAGCCTGATGACCAATCTGCACCAGCCCGGGCCTCCTGATCTAAAACATATGAGGTCAGGGCCGGCTGAGTGGCTCAGTTGGTTAAGAGCTCGCTCAAGAGTTTGAGCTCTGAGCAACAGTGGTTCGAGTCAGCCCGAGCTGAGCAGCCGTGAGCTGCCAACAGGTGGCGGGATGGCTCAGCTAAAAAAAAAAATAAAAAATAAAAAAATAAAAAAAAATAAAAAAAAACATATGAGGTCAGTGCAGGGGTGTAATTAGTGGGAATGCAGAATCTGGGTGAGTCTAGAAATACAGTAAAACCTTGGATTGCGAGTAACCTGGCTTGTGAATGTTCCACAAGACGAGCAAACATTTCTAATACATTTTAACTTGGTAAACGAGCGATGTCTTGCAATATGAGTAGTTTGTTTCCAGAACAAATTATGCTCGCAAACCAAGGCATTACTGTATTTCACGTTCAATAGATTTAAAAGAAAAAGAAGGGTATAAAATGTGTACTTACAGAATATCTGTTTCCCATGAAATCTGTAAAACAAAGGACAACAGGGAGATGAGCAATATAAAACAAGCATGTTAGGCTCCCTGCACCCCAACATCTCGGGTTGAGCCCATGAAGGAAAGGGGGGATGATAGAAGGAGATGCCAGACCCGCAACCTTGCTGGGTGCCCAGGTTTATGGCTCCTTTGTCCAGATAGTTTCCCCCTGGGCCCTGTAGCTCCATGTGACAAGCATATAATGTCCCTGGCAGCTCACTTGACATTTTAAAAAACTAAAAAAAAGACATTAGTACCACCTGTTATTGTAAGGAACTGAAAACTAGAGAAAAGTGGAAGGTAGCAAATAAAAAGTATCTCTGGTTCCCCTCTTCAAACCCTGTTGATACTTTTGTCTTCCTGTCATTTTCTGCTAGGAGTGGACTTTCTTTTGGAGTTATAATTATACAGTATATACCATTTTCTAGCTTATCTTCTTCACTTAACATGATTTTATAAACATTTTCTGGAAACTTCTTAAACATCATTGTTAGCAGCTGCATAATAACCACTGAATGGATCTGTAACTGTTTACTTAACCAATTCCTTACTTTAAAAAATTAGGTTCTTTCCAAGTTTTTGCTATTTTAAACAATGCTGCCAGTATCCCTTTTAGGAGCAGAGCGATTTCCATATTTTGTATTAGTTTGTCGATTCCAAGGAGTGGGATCATTGGAGCAGAAGGTATAAGCATTACTGACTTGCTTGGCATGTATGACCCAAGTGCTGTCTGAAGGGCAGGGCCGCCACTTCCCCTTCCCTTGGGAGCCTCATCTCAACTGTCTGGAAATCACACCATCTTCTTGCCAGAGTGCATGCTGGGATGGTTTGGCCTGGCCAGGCTGCAATGATGAAAATAGCCCTCGCCAAATATCAGGAAGATGAGAGTGAATGTGAGAACAGGAGACACTGCGTTGAGGTATACTACATTAGGCAGAGATGCTTTTCACTACAAGAGGCAAGAGAGAGAGGTAGGGCTTGCCCCATTGGGCAGGACCAGGCCCCCACGAACAGCAGAGTTTCTGAATGGGCAGTGGCCCACATGTTGGAGCTGATTCTCATGGACTATGGGCATAGACATGAAGACCGAGAAGACATAGGATCTCTTGCTACCTGGGGAAGGCTCCGAGAGAAGATGTAGGTATTGGGGGGTGGTTGCCATTCGTGAAGCAGGTGGGGCCTCAGTCTTACTGGAGGGAAGCTCTCCAAGGGTCCTCAGTTTCTACCCAGCCACTCAAGCTCAAACCCAATCCCTTCTGAATCTCAGGCAGTCTCAGGGCCCATCTGTCACACCCCTTCTATTTCTTTCTCTAATTTAAAAATATCCTGTTTCCACAAGTCCACTTCCCCCTCGAACCCTGTCTTATCACAGCTCCATTGTGTGTCCCCTCTAGAGGGAACAGGGCCAAAAGTTCCTAAGGGGCCCCCTTCTGTCCTGGCTGGGCCAGAGGCAGACGTCAACGGCCAGATGGATGAATCAGCCCAACCACGAAGTCCAGCCATTGTGTAAACTTCCACACATTGAGTGAGCCTAGGCAGCACCCCACCCCCACCCCAAATCTGACCTGGGAGGACCTGAAAGACCCCATGCTTCCTGCTTCCCCACAAAGCCCCAAGTGCTTTGGAATGGGGCACAAGAGGGAAAGAGCCTCAGACTGTGTTTCCTAAAGCAATCTGAACACAAAATACTAAAACATGAGTATGCTGATAATATTGATGGAATACCAAGTTTGTGCACACTTGTAGCTTTCTTTTTGGTGATAGAGGAACCACCCCAAAAACGGAATCTGGAGGGCAGTATTCAGGTTGTTTTTTGTTTGTTTGTTTTCTCATGGAGTCCTTTTTGAATCCTCTTGAATTCTAAGCCTGGGTTGCTCTGGGCTTTGCAGGATGGATGGGGGACTGGCCTTCAAGAGCTCTTGTCTCCCTCCCAGAGGGAGCACAGCACAGATACCCTCTGTTCTTTTTTCTCGATGACCAGCTACTCTTGGTATACTGGATTTCTCCCCCTTGGGAAACATCTGGAAGTTTGAATTCCAGGCAAAGAGAAAGCAGGCGGTGGAGTCTGAGTGAGCAGATACTTAGATGGGAAGGTGGACCCTTGTCTGAACCAAAAGATATAGGTTAGTGTCTGGAGCAGGACTTGGCATCTTTGCCTAGGGCCCTGAATGGTCAGGTGGGATGTAATCAGGACACCTCCCAAGGTGGGCCCAGGGCATCTAAAGAGGAAAACCAGCTTCCTATTGGAAGACTCACAGGAGGTGAATCCTTCTAAGCCAGGGTTTCTCAACTCTGGCACTATTGACATTCTGGTATGGATACTTCTTTGTTTGGGGGATTGTCTATACATTGTAAGATGTTTAGCAGCATCCCTGGCCTCCACCCATTAAATGCAGTAGCACCCCTCCCAACACCCACAACCAAAAATGTCTCTAGGCATTGCCAGATGTCTCCTGCATTGAGAATCACTGCTCTAAGCTGTGGAAATCTCATCCAGACCTGAGTTCTTGCACAGGGAAGAATTTGACTGTGTTGCCGATTGTAATAAACCACTTTACCCTTCTGTTTTTAAAGTCCAGTGTAAATATGTCAATAGGTTTTGCTTCGGATGACCTGCAAGCCATTTTATCAGGTACTTGCAAAATAAGCTGGAGCACTATAAAACGTCAAGTGCTGAATCAGAGTAAAGATGTCAACTTTCCTGACCAGAAATAGCAGTTCACACAGGCTCAGCCAGGCCATGGACAGCCATGTGTTTACAGAGAGGCTCCCTACCCAGCTATCCTTTCTCTTTTTGTCCTTGTCACTAGGAGAGCACTAAGAGAACTAGGGGGAGGAAAAGAAAATGAAATTGTTCTTTGGATTAGCTGGCACCAGTCACAGGAGGAAGTCAATGACAGATGAGAAGAGAGGTGTGTGTGGTGGGGGTGGGGTGGGTGGAGTGGGTTTGATTCCAGGTCACCCAGCCACCCAGAGCACCAAAGCGATCAACAGGGCCTGGGAGGAAGCCACCATCTAAATCAGGAGAACTCAGGTGAGTAACAGATCATCTCGCATAAATTCTGAGGTTCCGGGGGATAGGAGTAAACTGGGTCTTGTTATGTGTTAAGAGAGAAAGGTATCAAACTGTAACCTGAACTGTTTTCTTTAAACACTTACCCCTTAGGACCACCTATATTACTGCTTAATAAGAAACATAAAACAGACTGATTTTTCCCATTTCTGGTAAGCCAAATCATAAGCCATCACTCAAGTTGCTGTTGCTGACTGGGATTTGCAAATCATTGAAAAGGGAATAAGAACTTTAGAAAATCTCAACTTGCAAATCTAAATTATGAGGAAATCATCAGCGTGTTCTCCATTCTCCTAAGAAAGTTGAAGGGTACAGAGCTGCAAAAGCTCTCAATTTGAATTCTTTCTGATGTAATTTTCCTAGTTTTGACAAGTTCTAGTTTCTTCCCTAACATATAGCAAGAATCATAAACAGTTGGAAAGGAAAAAACTCAAAGAGCAAGAGGTTACCTTGCCTTAGACTAAGAGTTAATTGCTGGGACAAGAAGATATTAGCTTAGCTACTTGTCAACATAATAGTGGGCTCCGAACAAAACAGCAGACTTGTATGACCATGGCCAGGACCCAGCAGGAGTTAACTGATATGAAAGAAATGCTCCCTCTTCCTCCCCATTTAAAATATCCCACCTGTGCATCACAGCCCTTCCTTACCCACCCCAGGGCCACACCTCTCCCAAGGATGATCTGAGATGATCACTCTGTAGCGAATCCACACGGGCCTGGGGCATTTTGTTGAGAATTACTGAGAAAACTAACTCCCGAGGGAGAAGTGAGGGCTGGGGGGTGGGGGGGTCAAGTCATATAATCCGGTAAGGGCAGAGCTGAGACCAAACCCCAGGTCTCCCTATCCTACTTAGGGGGTTTTCCATTAGGTTCACAGTACAAAGAACCACGCAGACCGGACTCCAGCCAATATGAATGCAGCAGAAACACAGTACGTTGGCCCCTGAGATCCATGACTTAATTCAGATTTGAAGGGAAATCTCAGGCAAATATCTATGGGGTCTTGGAGTCAAGGGTGGGTAAAGGATTAGGATTGGCTCCAGGGGACCCAGGGAAGTGACTGGCTCCCCTCTCCCCACCAATATGATCAGAGGGAAATGCTTCTGGGCTGACCAAGGCATAAACAAATAACCTTCGGTTCCAGGACACTGAGACTCTCTGAATGTCATAATTGGAAGGCAACTTAAGATCATTCTTTCAACCACCTCCTTTGACAGATGAAAAAGCTGAGTTTAGTCAAATTTACAGAGACACAAAGTAGCACGGCTGTTGCCAGGGGCTGGAGAGAGTAGGGAGTTATTGTTTAATAGCTCTGAGGTTTCAGTTTGGGAAGATAAAAAACTTCTGGAGATGGATGGATGGTGGTGATGGCTGTATAATATTGTGAATGTACCGAATGCCTCTGAAATGTACATTCACAAGTGATTAAGATGGCAAGTGTTAGGTATATTTTATCACAGTTGAAGAAAAAAAAAAAAAAAGCTGAAGTCAAGATTGCTAAGACCTGGTGCCTCCACAGCCTCCAGGCCCCCCTGACAATCCTCAGCCAGCAGCCCCAGCACTCCCCAGGACACCGGGTCGTACCCAGAGCCCCGCCCTGGGGCTGCTCCTTGGAGGCAGGCCTGCCTCATGCCCTTTTGCTTATCGAGAGGAGCAGTTTTCCTTTGTATCACTCAGGGGAGAAAAGGGGTAGAAGAGCCAGAACTACGCCCTGGCGAGCCATTTCCCAAAATAGCCAGCCCTGAAGTGCAGCTGGTTGGAAGAGGTTGGGAACTGAGAAATTAAGATGGGGAAGAATAAAAAATTAAGAAGGAAAGGTTAGATATGACGCAGTCTGCTCACTGACCTATTCAGGGAACCAGCTCCCCACGAGGGTCCTTATTTTATTGAGTCAGTCCTCCCCTTCACACACACACACACACACACACACACACACACACACACACACACACACACAGGTTTCTGGGTTATCTCTACTGGCCAACCCTGAGTGATCTGGTACAATCAGAAGGGAACTGAGAGCATCTAGAAGATGATTCTGAACGTGAGGTCCCCAGACCAGCAGTAGTAGCAGCATGTGGGAATTGATCAGAAATGCAAATTCTCAGCCCCACTCCAAACCTACTGAATTGGAAATGCAGGAGGTGGTGCCAAGCCACCTGTATTTGAACAAACCTGGAGAGCCCTCAATCTACCTTTAAGCTCACGCCCCTCATTTCACAGAGAAGGTAGGTGAGGTCCCGAGAGGTTCCATGCCTCCCCCTGGGTCACCCAGACCATACCAGACTGTTACTCTCAACTTCTAAAGGAGGCAGAGTTAAATCCTCTAATTAAGCTGGTGATAATGTGGAAACCAAACACAGACAGCTGGAAAAGGGAGAAGCATGTAGTCAACTGGTTTGGCAACACGGAGAAGGCTACGAAAGGGCACCACTCTACAGCCAGGCTCCCTGCGTTCAAATTCCTGCTCTGCCACTGCTGGGGACCTTGGGACCAGGATGAGTTATTTAACCCCTGGTCCCATTTCCCCATCTGTAGAGCGGGAGTAATAATACAGCCTCCATCAGCCCTCTGATGATTTTGAGGACTAAATGAGTGTAGGACAGTAAGAGGACAAGACAGAAAAGAGGAATCAACCAAGGCCTACAGCCTCCTCCCCTGGAGTAGCAGCTGCACGGGAAACACTCGGGAACTCTCGGCTTCCAGGACGGAAACCTCCTAGGAGGCGGAGGCGCTGGCTTTCGCAGAAGCACTATGGTTTTGGCTATAAGACCCAGGGCTCACTTTTCCCTCAACCCCTAAGCAGGAGCCAGCTGCTAGGTTAGAGAGCAGGTCCCAGAGGGAACCCAAGTGCCAACCGACCCCTGATGGCCCAGATGGCACAGTGCGAGTGTCCTGGCTTGGGAGTTGGGAAATGGCTCTAGTCCCCTGCCCTGAGCAAAGCTCTGAGCTCTCTAGGGCTCCAGTTCCTCTTGTGTTTTTCAGCTAAAATAGAGTGAATGCTCACTGCTGGTAGGGATACCACACTGCATGCTTGGGGCGATGAGCACCATCTCCCCCCTGACCCCATCTCATCCCCTTTGCTCATTTAGTCCCATCTTCATTTAACAGTTGAAGAAACTGAGTCTCAGAGCAATGAGGCATCTCGGTCAAAGTCACACAGCTGCTAAGTGGCAGCACCAGGACAGGGGCTCGGATGTGTCCTAGCAAAACAGGGCTCTCCACCGCCTTGAATCACTTCAGGGTTTGGGCTCTATGGTGCTTGTGGTTCATTCCAGCCCAAGGCCAGAGGTGGCGGTTAGGTTGAATGGCCTCGGCACTAAGAGCTCAGGCATCTAGAACCAGCTTTCTGACCGCGAGAGAACCACTTGAACAGCTGCCCTAAAGCTGATGCAGGAAATCAGAACATGCCACCCCGAAATATGCCACTTTGGCATGAGGATGATTTTGAGCTGGGAGCAAATGAGAATTCACAGATGCAGAAGGAAGGCTTTCCCCCAGAATTTCCCTTATTTGACTAAAAAGCAGAAACTTCTCAGACATGAAGACAGCCTTCTCCCAGGGAAGTTCTACAGCCATAAGACTGTGGAAAGTCGGTGCCAAGATGGACCTGCACAAACAAACCTTATTCCCTATTAGTTTCCCTCATATATTTACCTTCCCACAGCTTGCCACCCCTGAAACCCCTTTTGCTTTGTTTTGTCACCTCTGCAAAGCCATTGTTCTTGGTTAACAGGCTAAATAAGCCACAAATTCTAACTACTCCACTGAGTCACTCTGCACTGTTTGTTTTTCTCTTGTTAATCTGTCTTTTGTCAGCAGGGCCCTAACACCAGCCCTTTGGAATCCACCCTGGGTGTGGCCTTCATCAGCAGGGAAAGGGCCTCCTTAGGTGACCCTCCTTAGGTGGCAGCCTTAGGTGACCACAGGCCCTGAGGCTTCATCCCAGTGGCCTCCATGCCCCACCAGCGTCCCTTCCAGGAAACCAGGTGGGCTTGTTCTCAGGGATGTGCTTGCTGTGTGACCTTGGGCAAGTGTTTTCACCTCTCTATGCCTCAGTATACTCATCTGTAAAATGGCATTTACTTGTGAGGATTGAAAGAGATCATAGAACAGACCACTGAGCACACACAGTGAGCTCTCAATAAATAGTGCTACATAACCAACTGAAAGTGAACAACCTCTGGGACCACGAGAAGAGCAGAAGGGGCATTATTGCACAATTACCAAACAGGGCCAACTTTGAATCATACTTGACCTGTAGCTTCCTGTTACACTGGAAGAACAGAGAAAGCCTGTTTATTTCGCAATTTGCATTTTTCTCACGCTGAATATATTGAAAATGCAAAATAAGATACATAAGCCAAAAGTTCCCCCGAGAGCTTTTGGTTTTCGAAAAGTATTTAAATCAGTGTCAAGTTCTACAAGGGGTTGAGTTTCTGCTCTACCCATGAAAATACCATTAACAACAACAACAAAAAAAGATTAAGAGGTGACTGCGATTTCACATAAAAAGTAGGCTCTGCAGGTAAGAGAGTTACCTGGCTTCTCAAATGCTACCAGTAGCAGAGACACCTGGGAAGATGTTCGATTTCAGGTTCTGGAGATCCTGATACTGTGGGTCAGGCTGGGCCTGAGACCACGCCCGCCGCCAGCCCAGGGGCCATGCTTGGATTAGACGGGATTTACTGAAGTTTCCCGCCCTTTTTAATGATTCCCTTTCAAAAACTCCATTTACATAGAGATCTGTTGTACAAAGCAAGATATCCACATAGAGACGACTTCTTCCAGGATGTGTTGTCACATTTGTCACATTTGGGTTGTGACTTATGTTCAGAATTTAAAGGTAATCTTTTAGGATTTCATTTAGCCAGAATGGAATACAATAATGATATAAAAGAAGCATCCCGGGTTCTCTGTCTGCATGGGCGCTGTGCTCAGACTGGGGGAAGCTCTTCGTGGGGAAGCAGTGAGATGGGAATTAAAGTGGGGTCTAAGCTGAGATCAAAGGAAAGGGGGGCAGATCCACAGTCTCTCCCCCAAAGTCAGGGTGCTCTCAAAAGGGCTGATGCTACTGACTGTCTTCAAAGCAAAGCACTGACTTTGGCCAAGACCTTGCGGAGCCCTGGGATACCAGGGCCTGAGTGAGGAGCAGGTGAGGCTCACTGGCTGGCACTAGACCAGCAGTTCTCGACCTGTGGGTCGTGACCTCTTTGGGGGTCGAACGACCCTTTCACAGGGGTCGCCTAAGACTGTCAGAAAACAAAAAGATATTTACATTACGATTCATAACAGTAGCAAAATTACAGTTATAGAGTAGCAACGAAAATAATTTTATGGTCGGGGGTCACCACAACATGAGGAACTGTATTAAGGGGTCGCGGCATTAGGAAGGTTGAGAACCGCTGCACTAGACGACAGGCAGGACTGTGCTGCTTCTTTTGGGATCACAGGAGAGCACCCAGAACTCTGTCGGGCGTACTGTGAGCACACAGTGGTGCCAGGACACACTCCAGCCCAACCCGCCCGTTAGCTGGGTGTCTGTTTGCCTGGCATGAAGCAGACACTCCATGAGTGTTACAGTGACTAAATGAATAGTGCATGTGAAACCCACGGCAACTTTTTATGGGAGGTGAGAGTGAACTCTGTGTAAGAGGTGGCACCCCTTTTTGGCCTCCTTTGCTCCCTCTTTTCCCTGACCACTCCCAAAGTCCCATGGATGATTCTGGGGGCAGTGCCCACCAGGCTAGGGGATTCAGGGGCCCCTCACTCACCAGGATTAGCTTTCCGGACTTCACTGTACACTGTCTCTGTGCCCTTCGTTGTCAGACCTGGAAAGGGACCAGGACTAGGTCAGTAGCTGGCTCGGGTCACCAGGTAATCCCACAGCCAAAGCAGGAAAACATCTGAAGCTCCCCAGCTAAGCCTGCACCCGACTCCCCTTCCCCACAAGTGCCATCTCCAGGAGCGCCTAGAGACCTTGTCACCACTATCCTGGGCTATTTCCCAGCTTTAGAAGATTCTGGTCTAAACAGCGGCACTCTGCCTGGAAGTATGCAGTCAACAGGTCAACTTAGGAACCCTGGACCTGAGGGGTCGCAGGTGGAGAGGGCCCCAACACAGGCCTGCAGCCTCCAGCCCAGTGGCCCACCCTCCTTCCCTGCCACTGTCCCTGTGTCTAGCTCAGGGTTTGGCAAACTGCGGCTCGCGAGCCACATGCGGCTCTTTGGGTACATACATGTGGCTCTGAAGTAAAATTGAAAATGAAAATAAAACTATCGTAGTTTCATTTATAAAAATTTTCAAGGATAGTATTCACATAATGGTGATTGCATTTGTTTTATGGCTGTTGAATAATTTTTAAATTGTTGTGAGGGACAGCATTGGCTCTTCCGTCTCAAAAGTTTGCTGACCCCTGGTCTAGCTGCTCTGTAAGCCCCTCCCAGGAGGCTGGGCTGTGGCCTGCCAATCTCCCGAGATCTGGGTTACAACCTGAGCATCATCTGTGACTAAGGATCAGCTGGGACTGGGAACCACTCACAACTCTAGACAGCTGGGCTTGTTGATGTCACAGGCCACCACCTGAGCCTCACTGCAGATTCTGGTTGAATTGGTCAGGGGTGAACTGGTCTGATTGAATTGTCTTGGCTTTAGTGTTTTTAAGAGCTCCCCAGGGGATTCTAATATGCAGATGGGTTGAGATTCTCTGGCCTGGACCCTTTTGAAACAGCAGAAACAGCAGAAGAGGTGAGCCACCCAGGGTGTGGATTTCCCCTTGAGGAGACGCGAGGATTTGGGAGCGCTCCCGTACAATCATCCGTTTATGTAGATGCACAGGTTGTACACGCACACATGTACACACACTCATAGTGCATCTACGTGCATTGTATACACACATAGGGTACGTCCCCACACACAGTATGCACATACGGATGTGCACGCCAGTGTGCGCCCTCACCCACAGACTCAGGAAACAGAACAGAACGTGGCCCATTCCCTGGCTCCTCTCACCTGCACAAAGGACCAGGAAGCCTCATTGTAGAGAGTCAGCTGATGCCATGTGGCCAGTACTCTCCCTCTACAGATTGGGACACGGAGCAACCGACAGGGTAAGACACTTCCTGCTGCCACCATCAGCGCCATGTAGGTGTTTCTTTCCTCAGTGGCAGATGACTGGGGCATACCCACAGCCTCTAACTGCACTGATATACCCTCAACTCACCATGCTCCAGGGATACCCCCTTCTCTCACCCCTGGCCCCGCACAAACTCCTCCACGGCCCACATGGTCCTTTCTCTTTGCCCCATTTTTCCTGGTCCTCCAAGCCCCCGGTCAAGCTTTCGTTCTGCACTCGAATGCACACACCCTCACACACCTAATACTCACTCATGCACTCGCCTCTTCCCTGTGCCCTGGGCAGTTCTGTAGGCCTCCTGTGCTCTCACAGCATGCTGAGGACACTTGCTCATGACACCCTGACAGTATCTGTCCCCATGACTGTCTCCCTGGTGGACCCAGAGCTCCTCCAGGGCAGTGCCTGAGCTGTTGTGCTCCTCCCAACCCCAAGCCCTGCACAGTCATCTGGAGGCACCTGTAAAGGTTTGATGTGACCATGAAGACACCAGTCAATGTCCCTTCAGGTGTTTCTACCTCAGACCCATGACCTTCAGGAAGGTCTTGGCATAAGCACCCCAATCCTAGAGGTTTTTGCTTTTAGGACTAAAATCCTCGTCATTCGTTGTACAGCGGATGGCAGGGGTTCCTGTGTGAGGACCTGAATGCCAGGAGAAAGCCTTGGGGGTAGTTCAAATCCCTATGGCTGAAGTTGGGGCACTTGGGGTGACCAGGGCCTTGCAGAAGGCATCGTAGTGACGCCCCCAGGACACGGAACATTCAGTAGAGTAGCTGAGATACCTGATGGGATGGACACTTGCCTTTTCCTACGAGGACAGCAGAGATGCCCACACCACTCTCCCTCCATGACACAGATTTGGGAGTATAGAGGGAAGTTCCAGGGATCCCCATATCAGCTGGGGGAAATCTACCATATCCCCAAGGAACCCCCCCACTCAACATCAGGCTTGGCAAGTCACTCATTCAGTATGATCCCAACACCTACTGAGTGCCTGGTGCTGCGAAAGGGGAAACGGTGAATTGGACCTGGTCCCAGCTTTCGGGGGCTTCAGGCTGTGTGGCAGATGAGTGCAAAAATAATGTGTAGGACACGCATACCAGGTGCACTGGGGCCCCTGCCAGAGCATCCTCTGGCCCACTCCCCCCATGTGGAAGTGAAGGGGGCAGGGGTGGAGAAATGGAGTGCGGGGGCTGGGAGGCCAAGCCTGGGGGCCTGGACACTCTTGTGAATTCCACTGCCCCAGGCACATCTGGGGTGGCTGGTAGACTTCTCTGGTCACCTTGGGGGACACTCTAGCACTCTCTGGACCTGAAGGACCGCACTCAACTCCCTTTCACCCCCTTACTGCTTATCAGCCTGGGCAGTAGGGTGGCTGCCACTTCTTGGTTGAGCTGCAAAGCTGCAGCTGCCCAGTGGTTTCTCCTGCTGGGCCCCACCCCAGTTCTACCAGGCTCGGCGATGGGTGGGGAGCTGCCAGTTCATCACTATCCCCTCCCCTTGCTGCTCCCCAGCAGCAGCTGCCTGCTAATGGCTAAACCAGCTAACAGGCTATTTGTCTCTGCTGTCAGAGATATTTCCGGATGGGGCTTTATTTTGGCTTGTTTTTCTCTGTTAATAGAAAAAGAGATGGCTTCAACATCATGGGGTTTTCCCAGCAATTAGCCTCAGAGCAAACATTCAGGTTCCTTCCTGCCCCTCTTCTACCCTCAAGGGACCACTTGGTCCGCTGCCAGCAAGGGTTAGAAATGGACATGGTCCCCATCTCCTCCTCCAGCCCAACTGTGGAAGATGAAGGACTTGAGGACAGGGAACTGGGTTGGTCAAAACCAGGTCAAGTTTACCCATCACTAGCCTTATACTCACAGAGCCCTGTCCTTGCCTGGTAACATCCCACTCAAGAAAAAGCAAGGGGACAGCATCACAGGCCAGGCCTGCCCTCCCCCACTGTCCTTAGCTGCCAAAGAGGCTAGGTCCAGAAAACTCAACGTGAATCCTCTAGAAACTCTCCATTTCCACTCAAGTGACCCTCACTCTAGCTCTACCGAGGCCCCCACAGCCCACACAGCACCTTTGTACAAATTGGGAAAAGGGGACCACTTGGGTGGTTGCAACCCTGCAGCTGCACAGCTTGGCAAGAAAAGCGCCCCTGCCTCCCCTGGCCCCACGCAGCAGAGTAGGGGCAGGACCTGGCCCTCTGCGGGGAGTACCAGAGCCTCAAGGCCAGAGCCCAGGGCAATCACTGTCAGCATCAGCCCTCACTGGGGTGTGGAGGGTGAAGAAGATGGGGGGGGGACGGATGAGGGAGTACCAGGGGTTTCCACACACATTCAAAATTTTTGGGAAGCCCTGTCCTCTTGTTACGGTTCTCCTTTCTTAAGTCCCCTTAAAGTAAGCTGTTCCCCACAGTGCCGAGCCCAGGACCCACAGTGACGGAGGGGCTCAGGCTGGATCAGGGAAGGCTGGTGGGGAGCCCCCTACAGTCCCACCTGCCACCGCCCACCCAGACATGGTTCTGAGCACCAGACCCCGTGCTGTCTCCTCTTGGGCATCTCGTATTTAATCCAGCTGAACCAGCTGTCTGTTCCTCCTAGTCTCAGGTATCATGACCATCCACACAGTTGCTCCATCAAAACACATGTAGTAATTTTGTCTCCCCCATTCTGGCCATGGAATTTGTCATCCAGTGCTGCGACCTGTCTCTGAAATACACCTGGAATCATCCATTGCAAGCACTTTGGTTCCGCCCTCATCCCCTCTTGTCTGCTGATAACACTCCTGTCCTCCTTCAATCCGTTCTCCACATGACACAAGGATCGTTTTTTGTTTTTTTTAAGAAGGAAGTTTGAACCTGTCACTTCCCTGCTTAAAGGCATCCAAATCCACTGAGACCAGAATGCGAAGAGAACTTTGGAGGAGCTGTAGGCCCAGGTCCCCACCTTGTCCTCCCAGCTTCCTCCGCCTCCTCTCCTTCTCGTTCTCGCTCTCTCTGCAGACACTCGAGTCTCCTTTTAAATCCTTAAATGAGACAAGCTCTGGGCCACCTCACACAGCCCTTCCCATTTCTTGGATCCTTCCTCCTCTTGGTGGGGCCACCTTCTTTGTACCCTTCAGGCTGCAGCTTAAATGTCACCCCTCAAACAGGCCTCCTGGGGCCACCCAAGCCAGGCGTCACCTTTCATGGCTTCTCCTTGTGTTCCCTTCTCCCCCTTCTAAGCACTTACTGTAACCTGATATGATTTATTCTTTGGTTCCTTGTTTGCCCAGCTCCCTCACAGACTGCATACCTCCATGGGAGGGACCACGTATGCACCTTTACTGCTGGTCCATCCTTCATTTGTTAACTCAACAAGCGGATTACTTTACAATGAAATAAAGGGCACTTCAGGCCTGCTATGGACCCCACCCCTCCCAGGTCCAGTCCAGACTTAGAAGTGCAATGCCCTGTGCAGTGTGCAGATTGGGCCGCAGCAACACTAAGGACCATTCTTACTGCAGACCATAGCAATGGCGGCCCAATTGTGCAGCTCACAGCCGAGGGGCTGTATAGGACAGCACCACCTGGGTGGTTCTCTGCCCACACCAGCTGACATGGTACCTGAACCTAAGCAAGTGAAGAAGGAAGGGACCCAAAACTCCTCCCAGATCGTGGAGCAAGAGGTGACAATACAGGGCCATCACCACATGGTTCTGGCTGATGCTCCCCAGGGTTGGACTGGAAAACAGCCCTACGCCGGCCTGGCTGAGTGAACACAGCCTGGCTTTAGCCTCAGCAGGAAGGGGGATGCATGGCAATAGCCCTTAGAGTGTCCCAGCAGCTGAGATTGGTGTTCTAGTGTTTGCTGTGGACTGGCCCACTCTGAGCCAGGCTCCCCAGCACAGATCCCAAGCTGGGGACCTCCAGGCCAGCACCTGAGAGGACCATGCACATAAAAACAAAACCTGAAGGGCCAGCCAAGTGGCTGAGTTGGTTAAGAGGGCGAGCTCTGAGCAACAGGGTTGCCAGTTCAATTCCCACATGGGCCGATGAGCTGTGCCTGAACTGAGCTGCCAATAGGTGGTAGGATGGCTCAGCTGGTTGCCGGTTGGACTCCTGTAAGGGATGGTCGGTTATGACTACCCGCAACTAAGATTGAACACAGCACCTTGAGCTGAGCGGCCACGAGCTGCCAACGGGCGGCCAGGTGGCGACTGGACTTGGAGCTGAGCTAGCTGCGCCCTCCACAACTAAGATTGAAGGACAACGACTAGGCTCTTCCCCTTCCCCAATTCCCCAACACGTTCCCCTTCCCCAATTCCCCAGTAAAATCTAAAACAAACAAACAAAAAACCAAAAACCAAAAAACAAAACCTGAAGCTAAAAGCCAGCACCACCATTTACACCAAAAGGGATTCTGTGCTTTCAAAAGCCTTCTCCCAAGTGTCCCTTTATATAGCAAAACCCTCACTATCTTCCAACATGCATTTCATTTATACAAGCTCAGTCTGCCAGCAATTTTTAAGGAAGATGCTGGGTTTGGGCAAAGAGCGTAGCTCTGGGAGGAGGCTTGCATACCCAGGAGTGAGGCTGACCTCAAAAAGTCTCTCAGTAAACACATTTCTTAGCACTTAGTAATTGCTCAATAAAAGGCATCCGTTAGTAGTATGGTAACTAATAGTTAACGGAATTTTACAGCTTAAAGCCTGGACAGCAGTGATTGCTCCTGCCTGGGGCATGTCCAACAGGTCTCTCTGCTAACCACCTTCCTTCTGAGCGACCGAGGGTGACTAGACTTTTGTTCCTGGGTCACAGCCCACCCCACCCCGCATGTCTATACCCAAGGAGAGAGCAAAGCATGAGGAGCCACTTGAGTGATGGCGTTTACCTTCATGAGGCTCACATGAGGTCACTTCCACTTCTGTGTACTCCACGTCCAAGGTCAGAGGCTCTGTTCAAAAGAACCATAGCACCCTGTGGTTAAACAGAATCTCCTTGGGCGCAGGGTGTTGGGGGGGAGGGGGTGTGTGCTCATACCACATTAGAGATTCCCATTCAAACGATTAAAGCATTCCATGTATTTTCAGGGGGGAGCCAGCACAGGTGTAACTCCATTCTAAGTGGGCAAGAGACCTTAGTCTGGGGAAAGCTGTAATGATTCTATACTCCCCATGGTGTGGAAGGACCCTCCTACCAGGGTCCCTCTTATTTCTGCAGTGGGAGGATTGGTAAAATCTCAGTCGATACAGAAAACAGCCAGTATCAGCCCCAGCAGTTAACTCTAGAAACCTCAATGGCCACAGGCAGAGAAAGCGATCTCCAAGATGGAATCTCAGGAAATGGGGAATGGGGTCCCCAGACTAAAAAATGCTCTGAGATTGTGACGTGTACACATAGAAAAACAAGTTAATGAAAGTGGTCAGGATGCTGCAGTGAAATCTAGTAAATTAGTTTGTCTCCAACTCAATGTAACATTATTGTTTGATTTTTGAAGCCCCCAGAGAACCAGGGTTTCTTATCGGCAATTTAAACTGATTCTGCAGTCAAGGTGTTTACAGAATCCACACAGCGCTTCAGAGCTTTAGTTCCCATGATAGCAGCCCCAAGGCGAAAGGGATTTTGAAAAATTATTTAGCCCAATCCTTCTGTGCGTTAAGCAGAAGCAAGCCATCTATTTGTTAACGGTCTTAAAAATTAGCGGCACTGCTATTTTATCTTAAAGTGTCCTTTATTTTTACTGAGTACTTAGTACATGCAAAATACTATTTGTAAGTTACATATATAATATAAAGATGTACGTTTAAAATATAAATAATAATTTAATAAATAACAGTGTATACCCATTACTTTTTTAAGAAACAGGAATTTTCATTACTTCTGAAGTGCCCTATCTGCTTCTCCCCACCCCAGACCCTTAACACTTTTTTTCGGGCTTTAGTGAGACATAATTGACATAAAATGTATGTAAGTTCCAGGTGCACAACTTGATGCTTTGCAGTGATGCTATTTAAAAAAACAACACCTCCTCCTCTACTGTCCAAGAGAAAGGAGATCCTCCTACCTTATTCAGTAGCCAATTCTGATTTAGGAAGTTCCTTTTGGGGTATAACCCAGTTCTTTCCTACTGGAATTTAGATTATTTGGATTACTTTACTATTAGGACACTAGAGAGCATCTCTGGAGACAGCAACCAGCCATCTCTATTTTACTATCAGCCAGTGACTGGGTCATTAAGAGAGATGGGGAGCTAGCCACAGGTCTTAACAGTTTTAGTTCTTTCCCTAGGGGTCTTTTGTAATGGAAAGGTTTCTAATTTAAAAACCTAAATGAGATAATTACCTTTATTTTCATTCATTGGTTTCATCGCATGGTTTCCAATGTCTTCATTGTAACCTAGTTGAAAAATAACAATTTGGATGGGTGACAATGGAAATTCTAGTTTTCTGTGTATTTAAAATATATATATATTCAGTGCCACTAACAAAGGAAGTCGTCATGTGGTTGGCAACCAGCACAGCAGTGTATCTGGGTTCGGGATCCCTTCCTGGTCCTCTGGGGCCCCATCCGACCCACTGTGCCGTCTTTCTAACGCCAGTGAGATGTCACCATCGCACAGGAGAAACACATCTCCTTATGAATTGTTCAAGATTCCGGATTGTTCCCTTTGAGCAAGTTCACTAAAAATTAAATGTAATCGTAGAAGGGATGGCCCTGTAACCCCAACACGAAGGACACAGTGAACTAATCCTCTCCAACTGGAGAACCAGAGCCATGAGAACATGGTTTAAAGAAATTGCAGTGCCTCCAGGGTTCCCTCAGTGAGCAAAAATTTTTAACCCTTTTTTTTATCCAGTTGTCCTTTACTAAAAAGAATTCTTATAAATGTTCTAAGTACTATTCCTGAAGAACACATGGTTTCCATTCTGTATTTGAACTAATTACTATTGTGATTATTAAAATACGTCTATAAACTGAAATAACCCATGGAGAGAATATAAGAATTGGACTGTATTTCTTGCATTTTGGAAATTTGGGGTGGGAGGAATCCTATTTTAATATCTCTATATCAGCATTTAATTTAACGTATCTCTGTATTCCTGTATAAATAACACAAATAACCAAAAAAAACCCCACCTAATACCACAAAAAGGTATTACTTTTTGGCTAAATAGTCACTGAATTTGCCTGAATGTAGTTCCTTAAATGATATATTTGTTCTTTTCTCTTTATTGGCACATCACTTATGTTACTGCAATACAAATGTTTTATTTCACTTTTTAAAGGAGTATGATTCAGTACTATAAGAATTGCTCAATTTTCAAAACATACCTCTCAAGTATGCCTTGTAAAAGGCATATCCTAACATATTCTTATTTTGTGGGCACTGTTACAGAATTAGAAAAGAACATGGGCATTCCATTCCCAACCCTGCTGATAAAGAAAGAAAACTGCCCCAAATCTGGCCTAGGACAAACTTTTTGAGTGATGTAATTCTAGCCTCTCTGAGCAATTTTCTCCTAGACCAGGGGTCGGCAAACTTTTGGGACGGAAGAGCCGCCAGGGGTCAGCAAACTGTGGCTCGCAAGCCGCAGGCTCTGAAGTATTTAAAATTGAAAATAAAAATAAAACAATCATGGTTTCATTTATAAAACTTTTAAGGGATATTATTCACATAATGGTGATTATGTAAAAATATGTTTATGGCTCTTGAATAATTTTTAAATTGTGAGGGACAGGATTGGCTCTTCCAAGGGTCAGCAAACTTTTGAGACAGAGTGTAACCAAAGAGCCACAATAGCTTGCGAGCCACAGTTTGCCGACCCTTGTCCAAGACCTACTGGGATTAAGGACTCCTGGAATTTACTGCCCACCCTACTGAACTGACTCTCAAGCCTTGCGATAAGGCTCATAACCAGGTGTTCCCAAGTTGTTCCATTAAAAAAATGCCTCTACTAACAGAGAAATATTTAAATTGGTTTCCTGTTGTGGCAAGGTTGAAATTAAACTGTCTTGCGCTTGTAATAAATAATTCCATCTGAGAGGCTATTTCTCAATGACTTAATTTGGTATCTGGTCTCTCTCTTACATATGGAGAAAGATTACATCTGGGCAATGGTTCAAAGTCTTTGAAGATAACCCAGGATGGGTATCTGCATCATTATAATTATTGTCTGCCTTTCATTCCCCGGGGATGTTTAGACGCTGGTGAAATTAGAGTAACATGCTCTGCCTCTCTTCTTAAGTTTTTGTTTTGCTTACCAGCTCACCATCCAATAGCTGATGAGATGAAGTGCCCCTGCTTGAAGGCGGGGCTTCCCTACCAACTTTAACCCCACCACCTATGGATTCTGTTTCTAAAAGGGTAGCAAGTAATGGAATGGGTAGCAAGTTGGGAAAACCTCTTAGCAACTACAGGAAACCATGACTATACCATAAGGTCTGTTGGCTTCGGTACTGGAATCTGACAACATCTTCTCATTGTTGGAGGTCAGAAGTGGTACGGCCGGCCTTAAAATGAAATTTGAAAAAAAAAATCTATATAACTATTTTTTGGCTCTGACTTCAAACCAACAAAATAGTCAAGGGGAGATCATGAGAAAACTAGGTAGAGATTTCTGAAGTGAAGAAAAACTTTACTCTCTCATTTGGAAAACTAGCATTTTTTTTTCTTTCAGTTCTAAGATTATTTGACAAACACCTTTTGTGTCAGGGCCAAAGGGCACGAGAACAACAGGAGTCCTTTCTCGGTGAACCCCAACTCCCTGAATTCCTTATTCTGTGCTACACAGCTATCATTCTCATGCTTTTAGATTTTGGATTTCAAGAACAGTAAAAATAGTACAACCATTTTTTAAGGCCAACTCTATCTTGCTAAAGTAAGTAAATTTTTAAAATTCAATCTACTACCATTATAATTTCGTAAGGAAAAGGGGATTTCACAGGTAACAGTATAGGAAGGACATGACCTCAGAAGAAAGCCATTTCGTCCCATGAAGGACAGTTGACAATCTTCCACTGAGACAAATACACACACACACACACACACACACACACACACACACACACACACACAAAACCCTACATCACTCACACCCTTATTACAGAGTTTTCCAAGAACCACTGAAAACTTCCTAATGACAAAAATCCCCCTACAGACAAGTCTATCCATGTCCACAGAACAGCTTCCTCTCTTCCAAGGACACACACTGACCTGGACATCTCCACTGGCATCTGCTTGGCTTTAAAAGAGAAAGAGAAAAAAAAATCAGTAAAAAGCACCCATGTTCATAACAGATAGGAACACTCATTTCAATATTTGACTATCTTGAAGACTGACTGCCCATAAAAAGAGAAAAGAAAGCCAAATATATTTCTTCTTTAAGAAAAAAGAAAGAGGGGGCCGGCCGAGTGGCGCGATGGTTAAGAACTGGCTTGGGATGCCAGAGGGCTCTGGTTCAGATCCCACATATGAGGGACAGTGACACTGCCCTCTGCAGCTAAGATGCTGAACAAAAGCTCAACCTGGAGCTGGGCTGCCGTGAGTTGCCCCTGTGGCAGTGGGTTGCCATGGGCTACCGTATGTAGCCAGCAGCCAGTGTGAGCAGCCAGCAGCCGCAGTGAGCAGCCATCCAGAAGCCGGCGACTGATCTGCCTCACCCGGGAAGAGCACAATGATGGTGCCAACTTGNGGCGACTGATCTGCCTCACCCGGGAAGAGCACAATGATGGTGCCAACTTGGGCCAGTGAAGCAACGTCCTCCACAACTAGACTGAAGAACAAAAAAACGACAGCAACTTGTCTGTTCCCCTTTCCCCAGTTCCCCAGCACTGTTCCCATCCCCCCAATTCCCCAATAAAAATCTTTAAAAAAAGAAAAAAGAAAAAAGAAAGAGGGCCGGCCAAGTGGCGTGTTGGTTAAGAGCTGGCTTGGGAGCACAAGCTCTGAGCAGCAGGGCCCCAGTTCGGATCCCACATGGGCCAGTGATACTGCACCCTTTACAGCTAAGATGGTGAACAACAGCTCGACTTGGAGCTGGGCTGCCGTGAGTCGCCGGCGACGCCGTAGGCTGCAGACCCTGATGCAGTGGGCTGCCATAAGCTACCATGAGTGGCTGGCAGCCAGCGTGAGCGGCCGGCAGCTGGTGTGAGCTGCCAAGAGCCACCGTGAGTGGCCGCCCAGTGGCCAGCGAGCGACTGCCTCACCCGGGAAGAGCGCAATGATAATACAAACATGGGCCAGTGAAGCAACGTCCTCCACAACTAGACTGAAGAACAAAAGGACAGCAACTTGTCTGTTCCCCTTTCCCGATTCCCCAATGCTATTCCCCTCCCCCAATTCCCCAATAAAATCTTTTAAAAAAAAAGAAAGAAAGAAAAATAAGCCAAACAAATAGAATAGGTCTGCTCTAGGTCTTATAACTGAGAGATTTCACATCATTTCCGCCAGAAACATGACATTTTGTTGCTTTAGCCAGGAGTGATTTTCCTTAGGGGAATGTGATAGAGATGAAGGTAACTGTACAGGACCCAGGTTAGCCAGATAAAACAGCAACCATCTCTTTGACCCAACCATTCCAAAAAGTAAATGGGTCCCTGTGCTTGGAATTCCAAGCTGGCCTGAGACCACGTCTGTCCTCTAACCATGTCTGTTCTGCCATGACCCGATCCCCTTAGGAAGGGGCCTGACTTCTTAGAGGGGTTGCAGCTTTCCTGTTCTAGAGAAAGCTCAGGATCCCTCCTTATCTCATTTGCCCCCACCATCCCATGCAGCAGCACCACAGGCACCAGCCTTATCCCACAAAAATCTTTGCAGGATTTACTTGAGTCCAGGCTAGCTGATTCTCATCATTCCTGAGTGCCAGTGGGTGATTATGGTTTCCTTTCCATGTGTGGCTAACCTCAAGCACAGGGTAGAAATCATAGCACGACAGGCAGATTAATTGGGAGGCATTTGGTGTACGTGTGTGTAGGGGGCGGGGGTTGTCTCCATAACACTCACACCCTACTCAACCAACTGCAGTATTTAGCGTGGCCAAATCCACAGAAATGGCTTCTTCTGACCATACGTAGAAGGAACTTTCCCCTGAAATGATCTTTTCCAAGTTGCCCTACTAGGAAACCAATCACTTTCATTTTTGCCTAGATAAATCCAGGGGCAATAAAAGCACCACATGCAACAAAGCCAAGATCTTCGGTTATCAAGGCGACATCCCAAGGAGAAAAAACAACTGTCATCAGTTACATCTCCTCGGTTCCCACTGGGGCAGAGCATAGCCCCCATGAAACTGAAGCCCTTCACATCCATGGCCAGTTTCCTGGAGAAGGCAACCTGTCAGGATGGGATGAAAGAACGTGCTCACCCTTGACTTTCTTCAAAAAATAGCATCTGGTCCCAAGTCCCAAGATGGCAATTATCACGCCAATGACGACCACTGCAATAAGTCCTTTCTTCCATGGGGCAAGAAAGACTGGAAAGGAGAAAAATTAAAATAGATAGGTTTTGTTTCTCTGCCAGCAAGAAACAATATCAGCTTTAAGCAACAAATAAGACTGATTTTCGGTTCTTGTAACCGCATGTCACACTGAGCATCTACCTCTGAGGGACTGTGTGTTCACAGCGGGTGCAGAAATAGTAGTTTTTGTGTTGTTGTTTTTTTAATTTTATTGGGGAACAGCCATGGTCATTGGTTACACATGGCTTTCATGCTACAATGGCATAGTTGACTCTTTTAAGGAGGGCGCAGCTCACAGTGGCCTATGCGGGGATCGAACTACCAACCTTGGTGCTATCAGCACCACACTCTAACCAACTGAGCTAACCAGTCACCCCTGGAAATGGTAGTTCTTGCTACAGAGCCAGCTGTGGTCTTAAAGGACCATAGGACTGAAGTAGATTCCTTTCTAGGTCTGTTTGGTCCTCATTTTTTTCTAGGAAACCACCTTGTACCCACATATGTGGGCTTCTCTAACCATGTCTGTTCTGCTTGATCCAATCCCCATGAATAACAGGCATCCCCAAGGGTGCCCATTTGACTAAGAAGGGCCATCTGGTATCACGCCTCCAAAAATATAACCTTATAATAACCAATTCCTCTTTTGCATTTAATTTGAGTGCTTGTAAACCAAAAAGGTCACTTGTAACCAAAAAGGTTAGAGGACATTGGCCTCTTAACCCTCAGTAAGAAGTGCTAACCTCCCACCCAGTTCCTCTTACAAGTGGTGAGCTTTCTGGCCTCAACACTACGTCTCCCTGTTGAGACCCTGACTCACCTGTGACTGTCAATGTGCTGCTTCGGGGGACATTTTTGGCAGAGGTGGCTCTGTTGGAGGCCGTGCAGTAATACTGCCCCTCATGCTCCTTGCTAGCTTGCGACTTGAGCCAAATGACCTGGGTTTCATTCGAGATGTATTGGTAGAAGGGCTTGACCTCCTTTCCTTTGTAAAACTTGTAGGTAATTGGACCGGACGCTTTGTTCACAGAGCATAGAAGCACAATGTCTTTCCCAGACTCCACCATCTTATTCTGCAGGATAGAGAGTTTCACGTCCTCCACTGGGGCTGAAAAGAAGGAAAAGGGTTAGCGCTGAGTCAAGAAAAGGGGAAGCAAAGGCACATGACACAGTTACTGCTCATGGCTGGTCTCCTCTCGTGCTATGACTCAGGCTTGGATTTTGACCTCCATTCAGCCACCCCTCTTTCCCCCACATTCTTTAGTTCCACCTCTGAATAGCCCAGCAGGGCAGCAATGGATGCCTCCTGTCCTCACATGTTGATTAAACACAGGATATTAGGGACACCTCCCTTCACTTATCACCTAAGTATTTCTGACCACTTGGCTTGACTATATCATTAACGTTATGTGTTCTGTTGGGGTCTAGTGTGTGTGAGTCTGTGAGTGAGCCTGTGTGTGTGTATGTGTGTGTGTGTGTGTGTGTGTGTGTGTTCCTCCTTCTGCTTACAAAGATGCATGGTACTTCCAGATCTTACAAACAAATAACCTTGACTCATGACCTTCCTGTTTTTCTCCTTTTTCCTTTTTGAGTGGTCTAAACCTATTGTTTTCACATTCTCATTTCCCACTTGCTTGTTAGCCCTCAGATCTGACTTCCATCCCTCTGCTTCTGAAACTGTACTCTATCTCTGCTTTTGAAGAAACTCCAAAGGTCACCTAACCCCTGCAAACTCATCCCTGAGTCCCCAGCAGATTAAATTCAGTCCAGCCAATCTCCCCATCCTTGGCTTCCCTACAGCTCCCAACTGCCACTCAGCCCTTCCTTTTGAACTCAGCTTCCTCTGGGCTTCTGTGACGCCTCCCAACCCAGACTGTCTTACCTCTTCACCTGCCACTCCCTCTTTATTCACCGTGTTTTCACCCCATTGCCTCTTATAGATGGACTTTCTGCAAATATCAGTCCTCAGTTTTTCATCTCCATTTTCCTCTTTGGTGATTTCACCTATGTCACAGCTTCTCTTTGTGCATTTAACACACAAACACACAGCATTTAAAGCCTAAATACATAGCTCTAGTCCAGATTATGCCCCTGAATTCTAAGTCTGGGTTTTTACCCAGGCATTTCCCCTTGGGTGCCCTGCCAGCCTCTCATTGCCAGCAGATCCAAGCAGAACTTCGCTTCCTCCTATATCCCCTTTTCCTGGGTCCACATTCAACCAACACTTTGATCCTAAATTGTCTTTCCATGTAGACCTTCCTATGAGCGTGAGAATGGACTGGCTGCAGACTGCCATCTGAGTTATGAATCACCCTCGTGAGTGCAGTGGTGGCCAGACCATGGAGCTGCTGGTCCGATGAAAGGGGGCACCAGGCCTGCGATGGGATGGTGGAGGTCAACCACAAGGGCAGACTCTTGGAGGGTGCAGCCTCACTTGACAGCCTGCCTCCTTATGAAGCGCAAGGGGATAGTGGCAAGCCGGGGTCAGGAGCCAGACTGCCTGGCCTCAATTCCCAGCCCTACTGCCCACCAGCTGTCTGTCTTATCCCTTAGGTGCCTCATCACAAAACAAGGATAATATTACTATAGGCATTACATGGCTACTGTAAATATTAATGGGAATAATTTACTAAAATGCTTCCCACAGGGGTGGATGCATGGTCAGGGCTCAGTAAATGTTAGCCACTAATATGGACCCCATTTAAACCAACAGTTTCACATGGGCTTCTACATTAGCTTCTTATGGGAGCAAGAGGTCTGAAGTCACCACTACCTGGCACAGACACCAGGTTAATCATCCCAAGGCCCCATTCTCATCACGTCCTCCTCGTCTCTTCTGGCTCTTCAGGGCACAGAGAACAAATTCCCAGCTCGTAAGATTCGTATTTGATGCCCTTCACAGTTGGGGTCGGTCACTTTTCCAGTTTATATCCAATGATTCTCCATTCCCAACCTTTGTTTCCAGCCAGCTGATTTACTCACAGTTTTTTGTTTGTTTTTTTGAGCTACTCTGTGGAGATCTTGCTCGTGTTGTTGACTGGGTTGGCAGGCCACCTCGAGCTGTCTCTGCCCACCCATTATCAAGCCCTGGCTCCTAATCCAGCTCTTCCTACTCAAGCTAGATGATATCTTTCATGCCCTAAATTCCTATCATTGTCACTGTGAGGATATTTCATGTGACAATAATGTGTTGCCTACCAACATTTTTCTATGTTTGTTTGCACTGTTATTCAATATATCACATATTTTCCCACTCTTAGGAGATCCTGTGTTTCTTGCTATATCACTGAAAACAAAGACTATGTCTTTTTTTTTTTTTTGGCATGCCCTATAGCATAAGGTGCTCAACATATATTGATGTTAATTTGAAAAGTACAGCTAGTCTTACTTTATATTAGTAGTAGCAGGAGTCTCTATCCAACTCAAGATGTCCGCATGGCACATGCAGATAAGAAGTTATTAAACAAGAAGAAAGAAGAGGAAGAGGAGGAGGCCTTGTAAGCTTTTTATAACAGGATGCAGAATATCTCAGAGATGCAAGCCATGACACCCCTAAGACCTTCTGAGAGGCACAGATAGAGGCTCAAGGAAAAACACAAACTGCAGGACAATAGTGTATTTCTCTTGCATGTAAGAGTCCCAGGTGAATGTTAAGCAAGCCCCAGGGGACTCCAGCCTGCAGCTCTGATTGCTGTGGCTTCCGCCCATGACATTTTGCCCCGCCAAGGGCCAATTCTAGAGAAGAGCTCCGGTTCTTTTTTTATCATCTTGGCGCTCGGTGCTGACTGCCTGTGCCAGTTTTCCTCGGCTGTCGCCCAGCTCCGGGATTAGCCGACGCCATGGGTTTTGGAGACCTGTAAAGCCCCGCTGGCTTCCAGGAGCTCAGGGACTACCTGGTGGACAAGAGCTACATCGAGAGGTATGTGCCATCACAAGCAGATGTGGCGATATCTGAAGCAGTCTCTGGTCCCACCACCTGCCGAATTACTCATGCCCTACCTTGGGGTCATCACAGCAAGTCTTACAAAAAGGACAAGGCCAGTCTGCCAGGAGTGAAGAAAGCTTTGGGCAAGTATGGCCCTGCTAACATGGAAGACACCACAGGAAGTGGAGCTGCAGGTAGGAAAGAACATGATGACATTGATCTCTTTGGATCTGAGGAGGAGGAGGAAAGGAAGAAACCAAGAAGCTACGAGAAGAGCACTTTGCACAGTCTGAGTCAAAGAAAGCCAAAAAACATGCACTTGTTGCCAAGTCTTCCATCTTATTAGATGTGAAACTTTGGGATGATGAGGGAGACATGGCAAAATTCACGGAGTGCGTCACGAGCATTCAAGCAGAAGGCTTGGTCTGGGGCTCTTCTGAACTAGTTCCAGTGGAGTATGAAATATGAAGACTTCAAATACAGTGTGTAGTAGAAGATGATAAAGTTAAACAGATATGCTGAAGGGGCTGATCACTACTTCTGAGGACTACGTACTCTCCATGGACGTTGTTTACAGCATTCTTGCTGTAAACATAATGCTGCTTTCAACAAGATCTAAAAATCCATCATGGGTCATTACACTTAAATAAAAGCTTGAAATCCCCCCAAAAGGCAGAGGGGGCCTCAGGTCTATGGGTTTCAGGGATGACTGTCAGTTCATCTAAAAAGGTGCAAATGCTAAGAGAGCCCAAAAGCACGTGAGAGCTTCCGGAAGTCGAGACACTCCACTCATATTTTAGCACTGCACTTGAAAGGTTCTGAAAAGACAGGACACACCGATAGCCCCCAGATATTTTCTGGCCCCATTTACCTGGGCCTTGGTCCTGCTCTGTCACCTGTCATGTTTGTGGACTTCGCACAAGTACCACCCACTTCCCTTGTCCGCACAATCCCTGGGCAACCCCAAACCTTTAAAAATGTGAACTAACAGCCCCAGTCCCACATGATTTCTCCTCATAGCACAGCGACCTACCTATCACCTTGACCATCAGAAGTTCGCTCTTCATTTCATCATCTGAATGGCAATTATTCACAATGCACTGGTATTCTACATCTTCTGTTGGATTATCTTTGAATACTGCGGGCTCATTGGAGCCCACTGTAAGAGTCCCCAAAACGTTGCTTGCTTTTAAAAGGCGATAAGAAATAGGCGAGGTTCCGTTTATGGATTGGCAATTGACTTTTATGGTCTGTCCTTTTATCACCTCGGACCTGACTTCGTAAACAATCCTGGGCTTGGAGAGCATTTCTAGAGGGAGAGAAACAATTTGAAACAAAACATCCAGCCCAAGGAGTTCTTTCTTCCAAATCTGGGCTTTGTGTTCTCTGCCATTACCGTCATTTTAAATGCCTGCCTGCCTTATCTACCTTTACAGGACTTCTTTAAGATTGACAGGTAATGTGTGTGTGTGTGTGTGTGTGTGTGTGTGTGTGTGTGTGTGTGTGTTGAGAAGGGAGAGGGAGAGAGAATGCTGTAAACAAAAAAAGATGACACAAACTCAAGGAAAACATTACATCCCCCTAAATACATATTTATATTTTCATATAGCTCACATGCACATACACATACATCTCTGTGGGTTTTTGTATTGAGAAGACACGAGCATAAAAAAACAAAACAAAACAAAAGTACCCAAACAGAATATATTTGAAAACAAATTCTCAGTGTCTCCGCCTCTCCTGATATGAAATTGCATGCCTCTGGAACAAGAATTCCACTAGGTCATTATTTAGAAGTCAGCTTATTTATAAAGCTTATACAATAAAAAGGCCTCCTCCCAAGAAGAACAAAAAGAATTAACATGTATGACCCACATTTGTCTCTTGCATGATTTCTTTTTGAATTAGGTGACTAGAGAGTTGACAATAGTCTAAAATCCTGGTTCAGTTGAGACTGAAATCTTGGCTGGATAGGCCACAGCCACAGATTACACTGAAAGACCATGACTGAATAATAACAGTGACAGGGACAGCTTGACCAGGGTTCCACATTCATTTAGAACCCCTCTATTCACAGTGTGGTCCAGAGCCCAGCAGCGCCAGCATCCCCACGGCCCTAATTAGAGATGCGGAATCTGGCCTCATCCCGACCTGCAGTCTAACGGGGTTTTGCACGCACATTCAAGTCTGAGAAGCGAGGCTCTAGGTGGTCTCAACGCCTACATTCTGTCCAGAAATCCTAGCCCTTCTGGTCAGCCAGGATATGGACTAAACACTGGAGCTTCCATTAAAATTTAACATTGACTACGCAGTGTTTCCCCTATGACCTTTTGGGTGGGTGCCTGCTCCAGCAGCCAAAATCGTGCCAATTCAGAGGCCACATCACCAGTGTGCAGCCACAATAAAGCCATGAACTTGATTTTTGCCAACAACATTATCTTCACATTGCCTCTCTCCTGTACTAGCAGATATACCCACTTGCTTCTGTCTGGTCTGTCGATTTTATTCCTCTTTCTTTCCCTCAAGTTCTTACCCTGCCTTCAGGCTGGAGGGGGTTGCTGCTGGTGATAAACTCCCTTTCTCCCCTTCAATGTCAAGGCTCTCTGAGCCAGTGAGGACGTACTCACCACATACAGTTATCTGGACCGTGTTGCTTTGCTTGACCACCTTGCCGATGTATGCGACGCAGGTGTATGTCCCACTGTCCCGCTCTGAGACTTTCTTGGTGAAATTTTGAGACTGCGACACAGTCATGTTTTCCTTCTGAATGGTGAAGTTGGCTGCAGGCGCTCCTGGGATGGAGCACCACAACCTCAGCCTTTCATCCTGGTCCAGACGTGTGGCAGAAGATTCCAGCTTTGGCTTGGAAAATAGCTCTGAGAAAGCAGTGAGTGGGAATGGGGTTATTTCTGGGCATCACTCCCAAAGCCTCTTTACAGTCCTTTAGCCCAGCTGCTTTGGGCAGAACCAACTCCCAACTACCTGTAAAAAGTTTTCTTTGGTTTCTCAAATACCTGATGATAATCACACAATTAGAGAGCAAAGGTGCATTCTTCGCCTGGGATTTCAATGGCAGAGTGGTCTCCCTTGTTAATCCAATTTATGTCACAGACATGGATATGAAAGGTTTTGCAACTTGTAATGCAGGCAAGTCATGATTCATGCATTCACCCATTTACTCATTCACTCACACATTTTAGTCCATGAGTATTTATTTCTGGCTATTTCTGTGCTGGGCACCTTGCTTGGTACTGGGGAGACAGCAGTGAAAAGGAAATGGTCCCTGACTTCAACGCACTTACGTCTGGTGGGTGATTCAGATGCAGTGTTTGCAGCAGAGCCCACAGAGGGGACACTGAACCAAGGCTTGGGGAATCAGAAAGGGACTCTTGGAGGAGGTCATCTAGGCAAAGAGAAAAAGGGTCGTAGGCAGAGGGAACAGCACACGGAAGATCTGGCAGGGGGTTGAAGGAGCTGAAAGCTCAGCTAGCCTGAGACATAGGGAATAGAAGGGGCCAAAGGAAGGCCTGCAGATCTTAAAGGAGCTTGGCAACCGCCTAAAGAAGTGTGGGTTGTACCCTTGGGGCAGTGGGAAGCATGGAGACAGGGGAAGGACATCAGAAGTGTGTTGTGGGGAGATGCCTGGGAGCAGAATGGATGGGGTTGGAGGGTCCCAGATTGGAAGCAGGAGGGGATGTGGTGCATGCTTGAAGCAGAGTGACAGCATGAGGTTGGGGACAGGTGGCAGCTGGCCATCATCCCTTCAGCACGCCCCATGGAAAAGAATGAAAATGACACCTGATACCGCCTGAGGTAAGCTACAACATTCTCTGCCACTTTAAGGAGTTCTTAGTACCCTAATTTAGGTTGGATGGCAACAGTAGTAAAGACTGAAGTTGACGTTTAAGAAGTTTTGTCATCTCATTTAAATAGTCCCTGAAGTACATCAATATTTCATAGTTATGGTATATGTTTTTATTTTCAGCTACAGGGAAATTACGAATTAACTACTTAACCAATGTGAAGACTTGAATCCTTCATGTAAGCCAATGTACCCTGACTTCATGGTTATGGTTCTTGATGCAGAGGGAAGGAGTCAGTAAACTCCTGAGATTATCTGCATGTTAAAAAATGGACTGAGGGCCAGCCAAGTGGCTCAGTTGGTTAAGAGGGTAGCTCTGAGCAACAGTGTCGCCAGTTCAATTCCCACATGGGCTAGTGAGCTGTGCCCGAGCTGAGCTGCCAATAGGTGGCAGGATGACTCAGCTGGTGAGAGCATGTGCTCCTAACAACAAGGTTTCTGGTTCGGCTCCCTCATTGGATGGTGGGCTACACCCATCCGCAACTAAGGTTGAACATGGCACCTTGAGCTGAGCGGCTGTGAGCTGCTGACAGGCGGCTGGATGGCAACTGGACTTGGAGCTGAGCTAGCTGCACCCTCCTCAACTAAGATTAAAGGACAACAACTTGGCTGTTCTCCTTCCCCAATTCCCCAATAAAATCTTAAAAACATATATGTAAACAAAAATGTAAAAAATAGAAACCATCTTGCTGAGATGGGTGCAAGATGGATTACAATTAGGAATGAAACATTAGGAAGCAATCTTCTTGTAAAGAAGATAACATAAACAGACTGGCAGGACCATTACATGGACTAGCAAAAGATCAGTCTTTTATTCACTCATCAAACAAATATTTATTGGGCTCCTACAAAGTGCCAGGTTTTGTGCTAAGTATCGACGATGTAAGATGAATCGAGCCACAGACCTGGTCCTTCAAGAGCTCACTCTAAGTGGTGGAGACAGACGCTAAATCTTCACGGTGACTGTTGATGTCAAGATAGGAGCAGAGTGCAATGGGAACCAAGGTGTGACTGTGGGACTCTGCCTGAGGGAGCCTGGAGGTAGATTTGGGGCTTGGTCTTTAAGGGCAAAGGAAGTTTTTCAGTGTCCAAGGGGAAAGGGTGTTCTAGGCTGAGTGAGGAGGGATGCTTGGAAGGGAGCAGGGTCAAGGTGAAGGATCAGGACCGTGTAGGAGTTCAATCCCATGAATTAGTGATGTCAAATAGGGGCCATTTGAGGAGGGCTTCTCCTGCAGTTGGCTGAAGGATGCATTGGACTAGAGATGCTCAGGGACACTCCTGTGAAGTATCCTGGTGTGAGGACCAGTGTTAGGGTGTGATGAATGAAATGAGAAACAGGGCAGAGCTGAGAGACCTGGCAGCACTGGGTCTGAAAAGATGGACAGTGGGGGAGGGAAGGAACCCTTTTTCTATCCAATATTAGCTGATGACTAATTCAATGATTTTTATGTTCGCAAAATTATTGTGAGCCTTCACTATTACTATGTAGAGCCATTTACAATGAGGCGTGATAGAGACAGGGGCATGGAAAACCCAATGCCTAAGTGGGCCTAGAGACGTTTCCAAAGGAGCTAACCTGGTCACACCAGGGCTGCCAGGCAAAAACATGGTGGTTAACCCCACATGGAAAGGACAGAGCTCAGGCTGAAGGCATGGGAAGGACAGGCTGAGCATAACACTTGGCTATCTTAGGCCAGGGCGACTGACCTACTGAATGACTTGTATACCCCACGTGACCCAGACTCTGGATGAGGGTGATCAGCTCTAATAGTCAGTATCTTATGGTCCAGTGATGTTTTACACTTTCCTAAAGTAGCCTGGACCGAGGGGTAAGGATGCTGCTCTAACTGGTGAAACCATCCATATGTTCGTTGCTTGGTCCCTGTTGCCCTCACAGCAGCACGCCCATCCCTGTGTTGTACTTGCTCATTGCATTGCATTCAAGTGGCCTATTTATGTCTGTGACTGCTTCAAGGGCAAAGCTTGACCTTAGGCAGCTCTCTATCCCCAATAAGTTGCCCAACATACAGAAGGTGCTCAATACATATTGAATACTCCAATGAGATAATAGATGCCTGATCAGTGAAAAACATCACGTGCCATCAAAATATTTGTCATATCAGTAATAAACTAAACTGCTGGCACACGCTGTAGACCAGCAGGAGCCAACACGTATGTCCATCAACCCGTTGGGTAGTTGGCAGCCTACCTATGATACGGGGCACTGTTGCTGTACTATAGTCTCAATGCCTAACACAAAGGAGGCTTTCGGTAAGTGAGTGAACAAATGAAAAAAATGAATGGACACCTTCCCTTGGGAACCAAGTAGTGCTGACTCTCTCTGCCCTCTGAAACACTGTCATCCTATATTCATTCATTCATTCATTCATTCATTCATTTAACAAATACGTATTGAATTCCTACTACGAGCCAGGCACTGCTATGGGTATTAATGATACAGCAGTGTATAAAATAGGTAATGTTCCTGCCCTAATCAGCTTCCATTCTAGTACCTGGATTCATACAATAAACAGGGAGAGGTAGAGTACATTTTGGGGGGGGGGGTAAGCTCTATCAAGAGAAGTGAAGCCATGTAAGAGGGGAAGGAATCCAAGGCAGCTGTTAAGTGCATGTGTTTGGGAGTCAAACAAGCCAGGGGTGACTCTTGCTCTGACACTTGGTAACCCTGTAACCAATGGGTGAGTTGCCCAACTTCTCAGCCTCAGTTTCCCCATCCATAAACCTGGAATCATGATACCTATCTCATAGCATTGTTATGAGCATGAAGTGAAAAGGTATGCAAACCAGCCATACAGTGTTCAGCAAAGGGAAACTGTTACTATTATGTTTGAGTTTGCTGATGCTTTCTCCCTCCCGACTCTGTCATAGGGCCTGTGTCTGGGATCCAGCCTTGCACTTGACACAGAGGAGAGATAAAGGAGATAAAAATAAGAGAAATACTAGCTAACTGAGTGCTTACCCAGTATGAGTCTCTTCATGGCAGTCATGTCACTTAGTCACTGTAACAGTCCTAATAGCTCACTCATCTCATAGAGTTGTGCCAAGCAGAAGCTCGGTGAGTCTCCCGAGGTCTCAGAAGTAGTGAGTGGCAAGGTTAGGATCTGATGCTGGAACCCACACCCTCAGCTACCACAGCTAATTGCTTACTCACTCTGTGGTGACTCTTCCCCATGAGCACTGTTCCGCCCCCCACCACCATCCCCTTTCCCCCCCGCCCCACACACACACACCCCAGTGCATTCATTCAGACAAGCAGAAGCAGAATTCTCATTGGCCATCCTGGATTCCAGCACAGTCACTTCTTGAGCCCAACACAAGCTGACACCCTCCAGCAGCAGCCCTACCTGTTATGTTGACCACGATGCTGCTGGCCTTGGATATCCGCTTCGTTTCCACTTTGCATGTATAGTTGCCATTGTGCTCTGCCATGGCCATCACGGAGTAGGTGGCCTCGTTGCTGTACTGGCTGTGCGCCACAATCACCTTGTCCTTCTGGATGATGATTTCTAGAAATGGCTGGACCATGGGCGTCACTTGAACGGTGCACCTGATGAGCAGCTCATCTCCTTCTGTGATCACTCCTTTGGGGCTGATGTGAAACTTGGGATTCGAGAAGGATTCTACAAGAAGAGGACAAGCAGGTTGGACTCAGGTTCAGACCTGGGGGAGGGGAAAAGGCACTTCCTCTCCTTTTCTGCTCTTTTTTTGTGGACAGCCACCATTTTTCCTTATTCATTACATAAATCTGACCTGTCCTCTCAAAAACCTTCACCTCGCCTGCTCTGATGCTCCCTCCGCTCTCGCTCATTCTTGCATCTTCAGCCTTCTTCTTAACTGCAATGCTCTTTCTTGAGCTTCCCAAGGCTAAAACATTTTCTGTAGATCTGATCCGCAGAATCTTCTTCAAAGGACCTCAGAAATAACCACAGGCTCTTCCCCGTGCTCGCCAAATTTTTTCCAGGTTCCTCTCACACTGTTTCATGGAACTCTGGCATTTCAGCACAAATAGTCCATAGCTTTCAAAAATGACAACGACGCAGGCTGTGCTGCTTCATGGAAATGAATATTTAAATAGCCATGTGCCAAAAAAGAAAAAAGGGATTTCTAGTCTGTTCTATTTCTTTCTTAAAAATGCCGGCCGTGACTGACTCAATTGATTTTGGGACTCATGCAGTTTGAAAAACACCGTTCTAATTAAATATGTGTCAGATACCAGGGAGTGGGGCCTTCAGTAGATGGTGAGGGAAGCAGAGCTAGGCCTCTGCTCCTGCCAAAAAAAAAATAGAAGAGCATAGCAAGTATACGCACAGATTTCAGCTGTGTAAAACACAGATGGGGACATGAAAAACGCCAAAAGTTAGTATAGAGTGATATAACATTTTCACATTCATTAGCCTTTTTTAAAAAACGATAGTCATTTAAATTTACAATAAAAAGCTATCATTTAAAAAAAATAGTCTGCTTTCCTAAGTCAAAGTCAGAACAGAGATGGCATCTTTTAGGACACTCAACAAGTGCCCTTTGGGGTAGCTTAATAATAACTGAATGGTTTTTTCTTATCCCCAAATTAACTCCACATGCATCAGAGAACTAAATACAAACAAAAAAAAATTAAACCACAGAAATAGTAAGAGAAAACATAGGTGCATTTTTTTTCTTTAATAATCTTGGAGTGTGGAGGAACTGTAAGCATGAATTGCAAAACTGAGATACTATAAGGAAAAAAAGATGGATACATGTGCTTAACTAAAGATTAAAAGCTTCTGCATGGGAAAAATCATAAAGAGGATGACAAACCGGGTAAAATATCTGCATAGTACCTGACAAAGAGCTAAATCCTTTAATTTATAAAGGGTTCAAACAAATTAGTAAGAAACAGTTGAAATGGGCAAAGTGTATATGATCAGGCAGTTTATGGGGGGAAAATGTAATAGACCAATAAACATAAAGATCATACTCAACCTCACTAAGAACCATAGAAATAGGAATCACAACAACAAGGATATATCATCGTGCTTCAATTAGATTGGCATAATAACAAAATGTTGGTAATACTCTGTGTTGGTAAGGTTGGTAAGCATCACTTCTTACCAACATTCAGCTATTTTGAGGAGCCCTTTGGCAATATCTATCAATATTGAAAATGCACAAAACATTTCCATCAACAATTTGCTAGGAATCAACCTCATTAATAATAATAATAATAATAATTGCAACAATACACAAGTTATAAGTACAAGTATGTCTGTTGCAAGATTGTTTGAATACCAAAAACTGTGACGATACCTAAATGTCCATCAATAGAAAATGAGGTAAATACATTATGGCACATCTCTATAATAGGATTCCAAGTCGCCACTAAAACGATGCAAACCTTTATTTCTTGATATGGACAAAAGTCCATAACATATTAAGAAAAAGTTATAAAACAGCATGTTTGACAAATCCCAGTTTTTGTTGAAACAAAGAAAACAAACAAAACTCTGTGTGTGCATGAACATCTAAGCAGAGTAAGTCTCGGAGTAGTAGTACTCTGATTGTTACTTTATACTTTATAGTGTACCACATTTTCTGCAAATTTAACCCACACCAGGTATTCTAATCAGAAAAATATTGCATATACATTATAGTTATATATATATATGTATTTATACTTATTTGTATATAAATATACATATATACATATATTATGTACATATATGTAGACATATAGACATACACAGTGGGCAGGGGTATTACATATACGTTATAGTTATATATGTATTTATACTCATATATGTACATATATACATATATTATGTAGATATATAGAGACATATATACATACACAATGGGCAGGGGTGAAGTAAGGTGCCAAAAGCCCTGTGATAAACTTGAGGGCTCTGACATTGAAAAGATATGAGGCTATCTGCATTAAAATGTGCCTTTGCCATGCGTCCCTGCTTCATAAGTCCTTCCCCGACACTCACCCAGGCTTCCCTCTGCTGTTGCCTTTCTCTCCCAAGAGCAATTCTCAGGTCACCTTATTTGTTTCCTATTTGTCCAACATCTTGGTGATCGGGGGTGGATAGAAGAGGGGAGCTACTCATCAAATGTGGGAGGCAAAGGCTGCAGACCTGGCCCTCCTTCCCTCCCAAGCCCCTCCGAACCCTACTTCTTGAGATCTGATCCACATTGGCTTAAGACTGGGATTTTCAAACTGCAGATCCCACGGTGCATCATTTCAGTGAGTTATGGCCAGAGTTAAAACAACACAACAACAACAAAACTGAACTAGAGTAGAATAGAAAATAGCAAAATGCTTCACATGTTAAGGTTAAGTATTGTTTGTAAAACTTTTGTTTGGGGAATTTATAAATGTGTGTGTGCGTGTGTTGTAACTGTGTCACAGTCAAAAAGTTTGAAAACTGTGGACTGAAAGTGATTAAGAACAGTCTTGAGAACAGCAGCCCAGCCAGAAGTCCCCAGACCCCTTCCAACCCTGGGCTCTTTCTTCCCACACCAAATCAGCAAGCCAGAACAAACGAAAAACAGAAAAGCAGGACTCTCACCCCTCACGGTGACCAGCTCACTCCTGGCTGTTTTAGAGGTCTCCAGGCGCATCCCAGATATGATGCTCGCTTGACACTGGAAAAAGATCACACGGTCCTGTTCCTGGACTGTGAATTCCAGCGTCACAAAATTCTCGTTCTGAGAAGTTTTTTCTCTCCTTTGCTTGGAATCTTTGACATCTAGTTCAAATTTTTCAATTATGAAACGTATTGGAGCCTTTTCCTCCGGGACAGAACAGTGGACCTGCACGACCCCGCCTTCTATCGCCTCCTTTTTGTCCAGCGTCACTTTGGGATCAGACACTCCTTTGGAGAAAGAGAAGGTCCATTAGTATCAATATGATCTAGTGGCACAAGCCTCCCTCAGTTGGGTCACTGTGATTGACCTATCTAAAGGTTCTTCTCTTTTATTCCCAGAACACCCAAAGCCACCTACCAGGTAATTATTGAGCAGGTACTTTGAAAAGTATAAAATATGTTTAAGATGTGGTTGGTGCTTTCAACATTTATAACACCATTGGGAAGACAAGTCTTCGCAACTGATACAGTTAAAAATGAAACAAAACAGCCAGTATACGTTAGGATTATGGTGATTGTTGTTATACTTTGTTGAATGCCAGCTACAAGCTAGGATTGACTTTACATCCATGACCCCGTGTAATTGTCATAATAAACCTCTTGGGTGGGCATGGAAGATAAAATTATGCCCATTTTACAGATGAAGAAGATGAAGGGCAGAGAGGTTCAAGGCTCATCTAAAAGCTCATGGCTACCAAGCCTCAGAGTTGAGACTCAACCCCTGACTGTCTGTCTGACTCCAAAACCGGAGGCTCGGGGGAGGCGTGGGAGAGGAGGGACGCAAGGACGCCCAGTTCTAAACGCAAAGCTGAAAATAACGATGCATCAGAGGGTGTTGCAGAGACAATGAATGATGGAGCAGTAAGGAAAGGGGGAGGCCCTCTTTGCCTGGGGGATCAGAGAAGATTCTAGACAGGAACTGGTCTGAGAGAAATCTTGGAGGAAGGGTGTTATTTGGACAGATGAGGTGGGATGGGGGCCAGGGACAGGCATTTCAGGGCGCACTTGTGCAC